TCAGCCCCTGGGAGTCAGTCAGGGCTGATATGTGCATACCATTTTTGGCCCCACCAATCAAATACTGATAATGCTAACCCAAATTGAATTACTTCCAATGGAAATTAAACAAATGTTGGTCCAAAATGTGATTTACCTATATAAACTTGAGTAAAGTGTACCCCCTCCCCAGAGGTAAACGTGAGACCCCAGGGTCTTGAAATTCACACTTTTGGTAAAGCAACTCAAGACCCTTCCATCTATGAAGAGTATTTGATTCTACCATATCTGCATCTTGAGAAGAAGATTTTTGAAATTTTAGTCAATTTGACCCTTTTTGGCCCAACCCATCAGCCCCTGGGGGTCAGTCAGGGCTCATATGTGCATACTATCAAACTGCTATCTAATACTGATAATGCTAACCTAAATTGAATTACTTCCAATGGAAATTAAACAAATGTTGGTCCAAAATGTGATTTCCCTATATAAACTAGTAAAGTTTACCACCTTCCCGGGGGGGAAAGGCGAGACCCCAGGGTCAAGAAATTCACAATTTTGGTAAAACACCTCAAGACCCTTCCATCTATGAAGAGTATTTGATTCTACCATATCTGGGTCTTGAGAAGATCTTTTTTGAAATTTCAGTCAATTTGACAGTTTTTGGTCCTGCCCCTCAGGCCCCTGGGGGCTGGGGACCAAACCGGCCGCAATTTTCGTTGACCTTTGGCCATGGAAGGTTTCTGCAAAATTTCATTGAAATTGGTTCAGGGGTTTTGGAGAAGAGGTCGAAAATGTAAATTGTTTACGGACGCACAACGCACGGCGGACAAAGCAGGAGAAAAAGGCGATCGCAAATGGTCACTTGAGACTTTGTCTCAGGTGACCTAAAAACTGATGCCGGATGACAGATACCAACAGCAGGCACTTCATGAAATGCAAGATAAAAACGACAAAAAGATATGATTTTGCTAAATAGTTTTAATTTCTTTCATTCACTTACTAAATCAGTCATGTTAGATAAAATACATCTCACATTTAACACGGAAATGACACTACAGTTAAAACACATAAGAATGTCTTACAAAATTGCCGATACTCCAGAGAAACAAAGGGAGACAAAACGTATATAAAATCAAATAATATTGAAATTTTTAAATTTCATTCATGTTTAAAATAAAAAATTAATTTACCTAATATAAATATGTAAATGGAATAAATTGATTTGATCTATTAAATTAAAAATTACTCAGTCGATCAACAACTTATATTCTGACATCAGAAAATCTAGCCTCTTAAGTTAAACATAACACAGTCTAAAATCACTTTAAATCTATATAAATCAATCTTATAAAACAACCAGTGATGGCTTCATTTATTTAAAATAAATTCAAACACTCAACATTTATTTGAAACTATTAAAAGGAGTTAGCAACAGCTCAATGATATTCAGATTATTTCTCAATGAACAGAACAAATAGTGATGTGATTTATTACCCCATACTGTGAGTATCGGGCAAGTTCTCATCCATAGCGCTTTTATTCAGCAAATGAAAAACTTTCAATAATGTTTTGCAGCTCTTTTATAGGAAAACCTAGTTGATGCAGAATTATTTTTAAACAAGTGTATGGATTAATACACAGTACATGCCTCGGTTGTTCTTGACAGTGTTGCTATAAGTACTATTTCACATGTCCATTCCATTCAAGTTCATAAAACTTTTCTGAATTTAAAGTGTTTCCAACTTAAACAGTTCAATGAAATTAAAAGACAGAAATTATTGTGAAAATTAAATGTGACTGTCTATATTTGGAGTATCAATCAAATTTCAGCTTCACCTTTCCACTACCACTAACAAGTATTCCCAGATCACAAAATGTCCTCTCATCCAAACCGATGGACATTCACACAATAAATGCATTTAGGAAAGTTCAAGTAATCTTAAAGTAAAAGGATCAAGTGCTTCAGAATATACACTTCCTTGATAAATGATGGCCATGATGTCTGGAGCTTAATTAGAAAAACAATTTAGAACTATTTAGCTACATGAAGGATATATGCTACTTTACTGCGACTTTCTCCTTTCCAAAGATATCCGCAATAAAAAAAACTCTCGTTAAAAATAATCAACGTCATTAGCAGCTATTTCAAAACTGATCATATATGAGAGCGATGGATTGCACTGTTTAAAAGAAATAAATTGCACTAACGTTATAAAGTAAGTAGAATTTTGTATAAATACGTATATACCCAACCACCTATGATTTTCAAATAAAATGGCCTCCCAACTCTGCAGCACAATCAATTCTGGAATAACCTGGATTCAATATATAGATTTTTGTCTGTCTTAACAGACACAAAAGTCGACTTATAAACGCAATTACATTCAGGTTAATATTCGTTAACAATATCTGTAATTTGAAGACAAAAAGGAAATGATTTGACTGTTACTGTAAGACACTGGTGTATTCAGCAAGGTAGCATATAACCTTACTTTCTTATGTGCAGATATCAACAGTGAATTTGTTAATTCATTATAAAAAGCCATGAGTGCATATTATAGTTTACAACTGTGAAAAATAATACAGGAACCATGACCACTATCTACTCCAACAATTTTGCCATTTGTGGATGATATAAACTTTCTGAACAAAGAAATGGCATGTTGTTATGAAACATTTTTGTTTGTTCTGAACAAAATAGTACTCAAACGATGATATACATATTGATGTGGAATACTTCATTTTAAATTGATGTGAAAAAAGGTAAATATCTTCTTTTCATATGAGAAATAAAAATATCTTGATTATATACTAGTTACAAGTTCACTATGTTCGTATGATATCAAAAACGGAAGAAAACAATAACGCGTTACATAACAACACTTGAAACATTTCAACACACCACAATCTCCATTCTTTATGTTTCCTTTTTTTCTTTATATTGTTTTACATTTACAAGTAAGTGTGACGATGCTTTCACGGTCAGATGTTGAGCTAATACTCGCCGAATACCACACTTTCTTCCCACATAAAGACAAAGAGAGCTACCAACCAAGTTAACAAGACTGAGTGATATATGGTGAAAATACTTGTTAATGTTTAAAGATGAATAAAATTCTTTTTAAAACTCTTTGATTCCCTGTATCAATATTCACAGTTCCAATGTTTCTATGAAAACCATATATGTAAAGTAAAAAGAAAATACATAGGGTTGATTTTCTCAATTTATCTAATATAAATTTTGCATGGTTTCTGCAAATCTATAAAAAGTCACTTTGATAACCCCGAAGTTAACAGAGAGCTATATGTTATAAATAAATGTTTATATATTGAGTTATGTAATCCCTAGCCAAACATTAAGGAAATCAATGCGTTTGAACAACAACAAAACAATAGATGAAAGCATTATACTGCATTGACACAAAGTTTAATACAAAAAAATCACTGCTAGAATATTGTGAATGTACTTGTATATAAAACACAACCTATCATAGTGACCTAATCATACACTCAATGTATCATCTTGGTTTTAAATAAACACACAACACATTTCATTTAATGAACACATCAATGAAATGTCAGCGCTAAGTAACTCTGGCATTTTTCAGTAGATACCTATTATATTGTCCTTTCTTCTGCATGAAAATCTGTGAGAGTTGATAAAAGAAGTTGCAAGTTTGTTTTAATGTTCAAATTAATATATGTGAATGGATAATTTCAGAATTGAAGAAATTTCATCATCTGTAAATTTATTTAACAAATGAATTAATACCAAGCAAAAGCTTGTCACTCATAGGATATGGTAATTATAATTTCTTCTACATTAATGATAACTTTTATTACATTTTTTACCATATTTTGCATCCTAAACATGATCATAGTGTATAACAAATACCAATATATATAATCTTCAAATTATTTAAGATAATTTTTAATGATCAAAATCTAATTGTAATGCTTCATGATTATGCTATGCAAATTGAAATTGCTGCCACTTCAAACTCCTTTTTTCCCCCAGATTTGTAAAAAAAAATAAAAAATCTACATCTCTAATAAAACAATCAAATCTAATAGAAAACTCACATCACAAGAATTATTCAATGATAGTTCCTAACATATCATGATGCTCCAAAGTTTGAACACTATTCTCACTTCCTATGATGCATTTAATTGAATTTAAAGTTATTAAATATATTAAAAATAAACATTTCATTTTCATAATTCCATTGAAAAACTATGTTAACGTGTACCTCTGACAGATAGGCTCAAGAAAAAACGATGTAAATGTATCTGACCGATAGGTTCGAGTTTAATGCGTACCTCTGACAGATAGGCTCGAGGAAATTGTCTCCCCTTGGTTGTCTTGAGGAACATAAATATCCAATGCTTGAATGGGGTCTCATGCAAAAAAATACATTTAAAAGGAATCAATTATTACTCTTAGTCTGTGAGGAAAGATGAAGAAACAACCACATAAAACTAACAAAAATGAATATGGATATGTTAATCACATTATGTGTGAAAACAGACCATGCACAAAAAAAATGATATAAATACTTAGTGCACAAGAACTGGTTACTTTCATTCTTTTATTGAAAACCATGTATTCACTTTCAACTCTAGATGAAAACCATATACAATCACAAAATCTGCAAATTCTATTCACCCAGCTAAACAAATGTCTAGATGAAATCACATATATATCCTTGGGATTTCATATACAGAAGAAATATCAAGAACTTTGCCAGTGAATGATAACATATTTATGATCAACTCCAGATAATTTATGAAATGATTTATCAGATGGCATCTCTTACTCATCATCTACCTCCTCCTCCTCATCTTCAGCCTCTTCCTCAATCTTCGCTGCAGCAGCTTTCTTTGATTTTCTACCACGTTTCAAATACTCTTTGCCATCTTTAGCTGTCTGCTGCATTGTTCCGGCCCGTTTCATTGATGGTTTTGGATTTGACTGAGATCTTGTTTTCCTACCTTCATTTACATTGATGTCTGGAACTACATAGGCCGCTACAAGGTAACAAAAGTTTTATCAAATATTGGTAATTCAACTGTATCTGGAAAAAATATTCAGAAATGACAGTGCAAGGAAGTCCTATTAAATAGACCAAACACATGGTAAGACAAGCATGGATGCATAATGTACTCATTATAATATTGTTAGTTAAATTTTCTCTTTAGCCAACAACAGTATTTTGATAATGGCTTGAAGAAATCCTCAACCCTCGGGGGATTATAAGGTTATCTAACCCTTGGCAGAGCCTTTGTTTGAACAACCAAAATAATTTCCCCTCTGCTAAGATGTTTCACTTAAACCCCCACACTATCCACACTTTAACCGGTGTTTAGATATCCTTTTCTCTCATTTCCCTGTGTGTAGGATACCCTGGGCATAAAAGAGTCTTACAGTCTCACCCTAGGGTTGAGACGGGGGGGATCCCCCTATTCATAACAATGGTATGGTGTCACATCAACAATCGATGACGTCACGTCAACAATCCATCAACGTCACGTCAAGCCTGAGTTTATCCTGTAAAATTTACATTACATTTTGTATATGATACAAAATAGGTGAACAGGGCAAGATGAGAATAATTTACCCCCTTGTGGGTAATATAGGGGATTCTCCCACCCTTCACAGGTGTGTCTCGGCAGAGCCTCGAGTTAGACAATCAAAAAACATCACCCCTCAGATTGGAGATTTCTCAGTCACACCCTCAAGGTAGGGGAAGATTCTTTTATTCTCTTACCCTGGACAGATTTATCCTTACTTTTACTGGTGTGAGATTTCCTTGAGACAAGCTACACGTGCTCTTTGCACGTTCTCCACAATAAACCTGATGTCACTGATGTGACCCGGAAGAAGAACTATTTTTATGAAGTCACACACATACACAAGATCGTCTGCAAATCTTGTCGTGTTAACATTTGACATCAAAGAAGACGGGATTGATTTTAAATTGTTTAAAATCGATGATCTGGTCAATTTTGGATCATATGATGTGTTAAGCGTCTGAAGCATACATATAATATTAATACTCTATCCACGTGTTCCTGTTTACAAACAATATTTTTTGTCTTAAANGGGGGGGGGAAGATTCTGAAGTTGCCAAACACTCGGCAAAGCCTTGTGTTTGGCAACTTTAGAAGTCCCCCCCCCCCTTCGAGTTGAGATCCCCCTATCTCAACCCCAAGGGGGTTAACGATTTTATTAATCTCAACCCTTGGCGAAAGATACCTAAGTTGACCAACACTCGGCAAAGCCTCATATTTGGCAACTTAACAATCTTCCCCATCGGGTTGAGATTCCCCTATCTCGCCCCCATGGGGATGACAGATTCTATTAATCCTCCCCCATTCAACAGAGATATCCACATTTCTGGACAGGGAGAGGTACCCTGGTCTTACGCTTGGATAAAGACGAGGAATTTTCCTGTCATAACAATTGTATAACCCCACGTCAACAATACGTTGGTGTCACATAAACAAGGCAATGACTACATGCCACCAAAAGCAGATCATGGAGGATAACTCTGATCTGCTTGAAACTAAGAAATAACGTTTACATTTTGTGAAATTACCACTTGCATTTTATATGGGAGAAAAATAATCATTCCCCACTTTAGGAGCAAGACAAAAAAAATCAATTGGTGTAAGATTCTAGCCCTCAGCAAACCCTCAGGCTCGACATTTAAGAATCTTACCTCTGAGTTGGAAATTTTTCTGTCTTACCCTTAAGGTGGTGAAAAATTATATTTACCACCCCTAAACCTCTATGCCTACAACTGCTATCCCCATACCGATCCTTCAATAAAAAGGGATAGTTAATGTAGATCATAACTAAGGAGAAAGGACATGATAACTTAACACCTCAATTAAATCCTCACCTTCTCCGATTGTCTTGGCAATAGATGTCATCTTTTTGGGTGTTGTGGCTGCAGTCTGTTTGAGAGCCTTAGATTCTGACCTCGTGTCCCCAAGTTTGTCCTTTCCAATGTAGTATGCCTTTGCCTCCTGATAAGCAATAAATCAAATGTGTAGTAATATGTTTTGACCATTTGAAATACAAAATGTATGTAATTGTTATATCAGACAACAAACATCCTCATCATGAGAAATCGTTTGTATTATTATCAAATACTCTTTTTTTATCAGAAAACGAATAAACTATGAAAGAAAAATTGTAAACCTGAAAAAGTACAATACATAATTTTCTTATTAAAATACATTCAAAATATGCAGTCACTATGGCTGCAATAAAATATACAAAATTGACTAACTCAGATACACTATTTAGCACTGAACTCAGACCAACTATTTAACACAATAAGAAATTCACTTTTATGTGTTAATATCATTCATTCATTGTCCAATTTTAACCATAGTAAACTAAGCTTTGTTTTGCTTTATTTTTAACTTGTATTTTGAAGTTTGATTTTCACCTTTGCTGTGGCTGCCATTGTGCCCTCTTTGGACATGCGAGATTTTTTTGACGGAGTAGGAGGAGTTTCTTTCGAGATTTCATCAATTTTTTTTTGTTGGCCTCGAGTCATGGCATCCGCGTCTGGTTTGTTTCCTCCCAAAATAGCTTCGGCTTCCTACATTTAGAAGAATTAGACAGTTAATACTAGCAATAGTGATCACTCCAGACAGGTGAGATTTCCGTTGTTTTTTACATTACAGAGTCTACTAATTGCACGAATAACACTATATTAAGTATGTGCAAAATGAAAATCTAATAAAACAAACAAGTACGCATTTTCATTAACTTCTTTAAATACAGGAAATACATTGTTCGTTTAGGTATAAGTGTACATTGTTTACATATGGATGAACATAATTTATGGTTTCTAATTTCGTTTAAATGCCTTTGCTATTTATTACTAGACATAATAAATAATTTCATCCTCCAGTGGATGATCTTGGCTTCGATCTAGATTTTTTTATGTTCAGCCTTACCTGAGCTGTGCCGATCATTGTAACACCCTTAGCCATGCGGGGTTTTTTAGCCGGAGGATCTTCCTTTTCATTAATCTTTACATTCTGACCTCTGGTTTTTGCATCTTGATCAGGCCTGTCATTGCCCAACAAAGCATCAGCTTCCTGAAATATTTACACAATGCCATGTAAACAATTAAGCTGACATATTACTGCCTTTTGTCATTCTCATATTTCCCACCTATGTAAACACTATAATGTTTCATACCAGTGACCATGGTAACATACCAAGGCTTATGATATTGAACACTGTCACAAAGACCTAGTTAAGGTGAGGCATATGAAGATTTCTTTTATAATAACCACTCTTCTTATTATTTCTTCTTCAAAAACAGTGTTTTTCCCTGGCTGCGTTAGCAGCAAGATACAGTATTGTTCTTACCACGATTAGGAAAGTATTTTTTTTGTCAAGCAAGTAAATTTATCATAAGGTCTTATATTTTTCTTTGGCCTCACCTTTGCTGTTACTATCATGGTTCCATCGCGTGCCAGAGCAGGTTTGTCAGCCTTAGGGTCCTTTAGCCCCTGCATCTCTAGAAGCTTGTCTTTACCAGCTGCTTCCAAAAACCCTATTCCTTCCTGCAACATATCAATTTAATGTTATATGTTTATAAAATAATAAATTGCTTGTCTTCACCCTTTGATTACCGATTTTATTAATAAGCTCTGAAAAAAACAAGTTACTTGAGGTAAAACATGCACATGTATACACCTGGAGAACTTAGCAATTCGGAAAAGTAGAATAATTTTATGACGTTTTAATACAAGATTTATAAAAAAAAAAGCAATGATACAATACAATAGATCCAGAGATCATTAAGTTTCTCCTTCTACTTAACTCGGGTTGTCAATTTTTTTAAACTCTCAAATTTTAGTTATACATTTTGAAAAAAAAAGTTTTATGAACTTATGTATTTTTGCAGATCGATAGAATGTAGTGGAATAAAATATGGATTTTATGTCTTTGTTTTCTTTCTTAAATTTGGGTGATTTGATGCAAATATTACATACGAAAAGTATACGGTTTTTTTACTACACAAAGAAGTTAGTGGCGGTGTATTTTGACAAATTCTTGTTTGCTTACCAGATTCGGCACTATGTTTAATGTGTTAAGAGATTCAAATGTATAACATTAACCCTTTAATATGTCGACTCGTCAGCACAACAAACATGTCGCACGGACTGAGTTCACATGTTCAAACACGCGTGTCCACGACAGTCGATACACATGGGGATACACACCCACTTCTATAGTTTTCACAACCGGCAAGTCAATACTATACAGACCGGTTGAAATTAAATCATGCGTTATGACATGACAGCGCGTAAACGAAGCATGGCATACTATGTTGGTATCAATGCATTGCATTCGTGAACAGACAACTCTTGATTTTGTTTCCGTTGCTGTCAAGATGCTTAAATGTAACCCCCTTCCCATTCTTGACCTTTGCTAAACTGTCAGCCATCTTGGAAATCCAAAGATAGCGATACTGTACAATAAATTATAATTTTTGCCTTCAAAACAGGAGACACTCGTATCAACAGATATTGCAAATACTGAGAAAATGATCTAAAAACGTAATGTTGTATCATACTAGTAATACAAATCAACTGTTTGTGCACAAATAGTGTGTATATTGGTAATGACAGAAGCATTCGCAATGGCCGAAATACTGTGCAGACATCGGTAAAGCTGTCAAGATTCAACTTGGTTTTTCTATGTGTGCTTCATGTTGGATTTTTTCCTACCTTGGCAGTAACCTGCATGGTACCATCACGAGCCAAACTGGATTTGGAATCAGCCATATTGAAACGTTACTGTTCTAAATGATCCAGTTGAAAAACCCTATCTATATGTCTGTTCTTCACATGTACTGCTGAATCGGCGATGGAAGCGTGGTCACGTGGACGGCAACCGACATGTTGATTGGTTAACGAAAAAGAGGTTGGTCTCAACCGGGGAAAATGAAAATAGAGTCAACATGTGCTTGTGTTTTGGTAACAAAGTTGTTGTTTTCTTTACAGATTTGGTCAAAATACTCATTAAATCATATGTAAAGTGTAACATTGCTACGTGTTTATTGTTGAGAATATTAAATTGAGTGATTATCATCTGATATTTAAAGATTTATTGAGAAAATGGACAATTTAGTAGAATAAAAGTTTAGAATGTCTACTTTCTTGACTGTCTAGTTAATAAATAATACACTTACCATGGTGTGTTTTCCGTATAAAATATTGTTATGCAAAGTAATTTAATGTACTTAAGTTGTATTATGGTTAAGTGATACTATACAAAGGTAACACATTTGAAAATTACTTACTTTTATGTGCAATACAGAGGTTCATGTATGTAGACGCGGGAAAATGTAGTAACTGATTCATTGAAAATAACATACATTTAGGAATTAAAAGAACAGAAGGATGACGCAAGATGTCCATTAGAAGCATACATTGATTATTACTTTTGTGATATTTGGTAAGTTATTATTTCATGTACTCCTAACTTCAATCAAACATTTAGAAAGCAAAATCTAGATGTCGGTTAATTATAAAGGGCAGTGTCTTTCCGGATCACCAGCACATATGTGTGTTTATTCTTGCAAGAATAAGAAATTATTATGTCATTTTCATTCAAACATAATTGGGAGATAAAACCTTGCTATAGCCATCTTTAATGTTCATGAAGCGTTCGGGACAGTCCTAGTTCAGGCTAATGGATACGGGAAATATATAGAATCTTCGATTTCATGCACAAGACTGAAGAAAAACTATTGCAATGGTAGAAACATATAGGGCAGTATCATGAGAAATCTAATCGGGAAAAGTTTTTTTGTTATTATAATATGTGGCATATCGAGATATTTCATAAATTCCAGATCTATTGAACTTCAGTGCGTTTTTTGTTATCAAAAATATAAATTGTGTTCATTATGGACACCCCTCCCCTACGTAAACCAATATGTCCTAATTCACCTACACAGGGGCGGGTCCAGGTGAGGGCGTAATGGGGGAATGCCCCCCCCCCCTCCCCTTTCAAAAAAAAACAACAACACAAAACCATCGTAATCTGCTAATATTATATTGAATATGGCAATTTATCATATTCATTAATTAAACACATACTCTGATTTCTTTTTATACTGAATCCCCCATCCGATGGGTGATCCGTAGTTTATTAGCAAAAAAAAAGATCCAATTTTTTTTCGACTCGCTCCGCTCGGCAACAGATTTGATTCTACGCCCCCTCTTTCAAATATCCAAGAAACGCCCCTGCTACATGTATATGGATATATGGCCATATTAATTCCTCGCTGGAACATCAGCGCATTGGATGGTCCAAAACCGAAGAACTGGGTAGGGTTCCAAAATAAGACTACGAGTTCTGGTTGACCGATACACGTTTCATTAGTAACCACTCATGATTAATCTTATCCGCAGGTTTGATTTGGTTTTATATTGCTCAAAATTAACAGCCAATGTTATGCAAGATCGTGCCTCCCTAAATGTGTAATGTATGCATTCGTGTATTGCTGGATACAGGGTATATGTTGGTGTATTGCTGGCCCTGGTGACAGGGTATATGTTGGTGTATCTGCCTCCTGGTGACAGGGTATATGTTGGTGTATTGCTGGCCCTGGTGACAGGGTATATGTTGGTGTATTGCTGGCCCTGGTGACAAGGTATATGTTGGTGTATCTGCCTCCTGGTGATAACGCTGATATGATGCCGACTTAAGAGTGCTACCTCACTGAAATATCACGCGGAAGGCATCCAATACAGTACTTCACCCGGTCACACTATACTGACGATGGGTAAACCATTTGGTGAGATAAATCCAAATGCTGAGTGTTAATAAGGGGAATAACAACTACCATGTTTAAGGACTTTGGTCAATCCCGGACTGGGGACAGAGCCAACTACCTAACCCACTTGGGCGAACACTCAACACTAAGGTCAAAAGTGAAGTATTGTCAAGCAAGACGGTTGGACAACGAGATGCTGGGTTATAGAAAGCATGTCTATTCTTTCCCCACTCTTTAAAACAGAAGCTGTGGACAATCCGTACATTTGCATTGCATAGGTACCACCTCATGTATACAGTGCTGGAAAAAATGAGTGTTGGTTTTGTTCACTTAGGAAATATTCAGTCCTTTTGTTGTTGTATTGGAACTGGACAGGGTCAAAAGTCGACGACCAAGTAGCTCAAATGGTAGAGCGTCCCTCTAGAGTTCGAAGGGTCCCGGGTTCGAAGCCCGATCTGGCCATGCATTGTCGCCCATGTTATGTTATGTGATGTGCGTGTGACCAACCATTGTTTCAAGTACTGGATGGATGCTTGACGAGGGGATACCTAAATCTGCGTTGTAAATAGTGTCCATCTTTAGGTCGGAGGGCCCCAGGTTCGAACCCCAGTCTGGCTGTGTATTTCCCTCACTCCTGTTACACTGCTATTAACATATGCCACCTAGGTCTTCCTATCCAAGTAAAAGTAACAATTCATTAATTTATAAGGTCTTATAAGTAACAACGACAGTATATGGTCCATGTTTTTCACACTATAACTAGAATTTGATATTATGTTACACCTAGCCATCTCTCATTGTATATATAATATTGGTTTACGTAGGGAAAGGGTGTCCATAATGTTCCTGTGACTTAAACTGTGCTTCATCCCTTTGCTGTATGTATACTTATGGCAAAACAATACGGTCCGATATGGATACGAACAAACAAATGTCCAAACAAAATGTACGGGGAAGAACTCATCTTGAAGTTGTGTATTCAGGTGAATTACACAAAGAAGACACTTTTTCGACAAGATATTGTTTTCGCCTTTAATAGGTTTTGGCTACCAGTCACCCGAAGGGATATACGTTGACACCAGCATACTATACACATATTATGTCATATCTGAAGCGTGGAGGCCTTATACGCCTACTGGCACGGAGAGACTTAAGATTGAGATAAGATATGTTATATCTATCATATGTTGTCATACTTTTGTTGGGGTGTTCCCTGAACGCATACATCTGTAGAACATTAGATAGAAACATCAAAGAGAGGGTAATTATAGTTTGTATCATTTATGTACTATATTTACCGGAGATATTTTACCTGTAGATCTACCTATGATTTTACAGGTAAAAAGTTATGATTTTTATATAACTTCCATATAAGTTTCCAAAGAATAATATCATCATCATCATCATCATCATCAGTGTGAAGGAAAACTACATGTATTGGGGAAATAATACTTCTTAAAACTATGATGCATTCAAATATATTTTAAAAGATGTTCAATAATTATTATTATTATTTTCTTTATTTCCTCCAGAAATGAAGAGTTACAGAAAATGAATTCACAATCATGGTCACACCCTTACATAGTGACAGACACCTGCACATGGACAGACACACACATAAGAGAATAATAATAGTACCCGCATCATACCATAACGTACTATAAACACAACACAATGATGTAATAGTTACTATTACAGTCATTATACGGTGATAATTATGAAGATAGACAGTATAACACTAATCATACATTACATCACACGTTGATATAATGGACATATTTACACTCCTCAAACTACATTATCTTATAATAGTATAGACAGTAATACACTTCTCGTACTAAGTAATCATAGAACATTGTAATAAACAATATTACAAGCATCACACTATAAATTATGTAGCATTATTATAGACAGTATTACTCTTACATAAGTCTTACAATACAATCATACATTGAGTAGAACCCGTTGCACGAAGTCATACAATCTAGTCATACAGTGGTGTGAAATACACAACATACAATATAATAATGAACTTGAAGAAACAGAGCAGCCATGCAATGATTTCAGTTGTAGTAATACATGTCACAAGTTTAATTCATACAATACAAACAATATTATGAATGGTAGTAAGTTGCACTAATCATGCAGCCCAATTGTGCAATGGTATAACAGGAAAGACGTAGGAAATGCTTGCCTACTAATATGAATACAGAAATATATGTATTTCATGTATTAATCTTGCTGAAGCGTGAGGTCATATTACTCAGTATACAACATTCAAATATCTAAGGATAAATTACATAGTACCACTGTATTGAAGAATTTTAGTAATAATAACAATGGCTTTTATTCTAAAGTCCTCCAGTTCATATGGAGATAAGTCATAGTTGAAAATACCACCAAGAAGAACATGAAGTAGATGGTAAATAGATAAAACACAAAATCTACATCTTTTACAGTACTGAGTACACACCAGAGCTGGTCACGTACTAGCTCTGTGTGTGAGCATTCGAGTACACTATGCTTAATAGTATCTTTGTGCATAGATCCACAGTAATGACACAAATATATATTTTCACTATCGCGCATTTCAACACAAAGTTTAACAACTTTCTTAAAACATGGACTGTATTGTGGAAAGCGTAAAGCAAGTTTCCATATGGCATACGGTTGTATCTTATCATGTAAAAGAGTGAAGCGAGAGAAGTCCCTATCAGCGTTCATCCTTTCACATAAATTAAACTGTTCATAGTGTTTTACATGGTCATTGACTAAACGCTGTAAATTTTAGATTGGCACATGTGATAGTTTGTTTTGATTTATTAATTTATTATGTATAATAGCTGTTCTTAACAAAATTATGATATGGTCTATATATTTTTACATTAAGATGATTGATCCCTGTTATGTAACTATATGTTTTTATACTGCGTAACTATATACTTGTACGATGTAATTGTGATATATGACACTATGATAAACAAAAATGACTTGAATTGGCTTGACTATATTGCTTAATTCATGTTTATCTGGACAATTGGGACACTTGACACATGATCAACAGTGATGGTTTATTACTATACTGTACGATAAGCATGGACATTTCGA